TGTATTACTTAAGATGTTGCTTTGTTCTTATCAAGAGTCAAGACATTGACCATGTATGCAAACTTTTGACCATCTATACAAATTTTTTATCTTTGAAAATTATATTTATAATTTCATACTTTTTTTCATAGAATATGCCACAATTTGATTAATGGATCAACTTTTTGTTAACAGGCATTGCTATTGTGCAGGGTTTTTCAAACTGTAGTCTAGGTGTATATATTAAGTTGAAGTATAGAGGACTGCTGTATGGTGGATGGCATGAATTGATCATGTCATCAAATGCACATGATGGATGATGTTCCTTTTTTTTAAGGCAATTTCTTAGTTTTCCCAACCATTCAGAATTCTGAGAGACCTCCTAACATATGTAATTAATTTTTTAGTGTACACTACAAATATGTCATAAACAATTGGTGTTCTTTTTTTTAGGCAATTTCTTAGTTTTCCTAACCATTTGCTAATTTCTTCTTCATCGTTTGTTAATATTTTCATGTACTTTGTTTCTTTGTTTTGAGATATTTTGTTATTTTTGTTGCCTCTTGAGATTTAATTATTTTTAGCATGCACTTATTATCGGATTAAGGCCCTGTTTGATGATTAAGTACTTGTTAAAAGAAGTACTTGTTACAAAAGTACTTATTTTAACAACCATTTAAGGCTGTTTGGTAACCCATTTTTCAAATCACTTATTATGTTTTTAAGCACTTATTGGGGTGGGGATGTTTGGTAAGCTACTTTCCCCATAAGTGCTTATATTGACACAGATAACAATTTTACCCTCCACTGTAGATTACTCAGATCTCTCCCTCTCCCCCTCATTTTTTTCACCAGAATTGTCGAAACCGCCGGAACTATAGATTGGACAACAAAAAGACTCCTCCGATTAACAACCTTCACAAAATTCTCGAATTTCCATTTCTGCCTCATCGAGCACAAAAGAGCACATGCTTCATTAGGCATGTGCTAATGGGTATAGCCAAATATCAAGCAAGTCCACATAACTGCATTTTTCCCCGACATTTCCCCAAACAACCGGTGGGCCGATGTCACATTACTCGTTCGAACATATAGATTAATGAGTGTATTATATAGGAATAAATTACCGACAAACCCATTCTTGATAATTTGAGAATGGAGTCGTTCAGCATCTTCAGGATTAGAAGAACCTTCACACTAACGAACTAGGCACTCGTATTTTTTAGAATACGAAAACAAATCACAAAACGGTTCTTCACTTGGAGTTGGTTAAGAGGTCGGAATTCGAAAGCATAATCAAGACTTTTTGTACCAATCAATCAACTTCTGCATTGGGATTAGTGAAGACAATGAGGTTTCAAATCATCTGCTAGAACAAATGAAGATGTTGAAAGGCTAAGATTGTTAGCATTCAGATTTGGTTTTAATCTGAAAGCGGGTGTAAGAAACCTGCAAATCATAGTAAGGTAAGCAGAGAGGATTTGTTCATGGTTGCCGTGCCTTTTTCAATTTGGATTGGTCGACCATTGATGAGATCAAGCAGGCTCAACCTTCTTGGCTAGTCGTGCTGGCTCGATTCTCTCCCAAAATTTGCAAGCTCAAGCTAGTTTATACCAACCCGATTTTTAACACCCAAATTCGTCAGTGGACCTGCAACCAAATGCCGTTGCTACCTGTTGTTATAGGGTTTTGAATGGAAGAAGAAGATGATAAACTTAAGTGGGGTAGTTTTGTCATTAAAAAAAACAGGAACAGGTTTGTCCCATTCGAATGAAGAAGCACTTCTTCAAAAAGTGTTGAAAAAAAAGCCACATCTATGTCACTTTTTTAAGAAGTACTTTTTTAATAATAAGTACTTCTTACCCTCTTTTTTACTAAACACCTATAAGTACTTAAAAACCACTTAATGTGTGGTCCCATGTCTTAAAAGAAGTATTTGTTTAAATAAGTACTTCTTTGTTCTCAAACACTACCTAATAATAGTTTTTCCCTTATGTCTTCTGGTTTGTTTAGGGGGCATATTGAGGATTGTAGATATAATTTATTGATCAAAATTGCAAATATGATATAGTGTGAGTCCATTATAAATGGACCAGGTCCAATCTGATTCAGTCCAATGTGAGTTCATTATAAATGGACTAGGTCCAATCCAATCCAATGAATGTTTTGGACCAATTTGGACTGGTCCAATTTAATGTCTGGACCATCCAATCTGTTCAAATTCATTTTGATTTAGATTGGTTTTAACCCAAACCCGGTTCATTGACACATATATTCTTATCTTATATCAATGGACCAGATATTGGCTTAATCCAACCCAATACAATATAAATTTGTTATGGATGAACCAGGTCCAATCCAATCTAAAAAATATTTTCGACCGGATTGGTCCAATCCACTGTCTTGTTGGTCTGTCCAATCCATCCAAATTGATTTTAGACTGGATGGGGTCCAATCCAAAACCGGTCTATTGACACCCTTACTTAGCGCGGTTGATTTTTTAGTATTAGAAGCTAGAATCAGTAGAGGAACACTATAAACCTGAATAAAGCTGGAATCAAATTTGAGAATTATTTCTTCCATTTTGATGTTAAAAAAAAAAAATCTAAAGCATTGGTTAAATGGATAAACACTTTGTTAAGAGACATTACTATTGTTGGTTCTGCTTTTGTGGGATCTCCTTCTCATTGTTCATTGGTTGTCTTGATTGGCGTTGCAGCGGGAGCATAGTAAGCACGATGAGACACGGTGGGCAAGTGGGAAAGGTATTTGAGATGTACGGGAATTGTGCATGGTTTTTCAAACTGTGGTCTCTATCTCATAATAGGTGTATATACTAAGTTGGAATATAGAGGACTGCTGTAAGGTGGATGGGATGAATTGATCATGTCATCAAATGCATACGATCAATGATATTCTTTTTTTTTTCTAGCAATTTCTTAATTTTTCTAACCATTCAGAATTCTGAGAGACCTCCTAAAATATGTAATTAATTTTTTAGTCTATACTACAAATATGTCATAAACAATTGATGTTCTTTTTTAGGTAATTTTTTAGTTTTTTCAACCATTTGCTAATTTCTTGTTCATCATTTGTTAATATTTTTCATGTACTTTGTTTCTTTGTTTTGGGATATTTTGTTATTTTTGTTGCCTTTTGAGATTTAATTATTTATAGCATACACTTATTATCGGACTACGAATAATTTTTTCCTTATGTCTTTCGGTTTGTTTAAGGGACATATTGAGGACTGTAGATATAATTTATTGATCAAAATTGCAAATATAATATAGTATTTTTATTTTTTATTTTTGAGTCATCAAAAAACTTGGTCAAGCTCTTGTAACCTTAACAACAAATAATTTAACAATTGATAGTCTTCTCGCCCATACTTAACACAGCCCCCTCCGCTACTATATATAATAAAACGGAATGATCCGATGTGACAACTATCTTTTTTCTCATTTTTTTTTTATTTTTTTAATTCTAGGTAATTCCAAGTAACACCCATACCTCTATTACAAAGGGTACTTAACAATTATGAAGTTTCTCCTTCCCATGCTTAATTATTACCTATTACATATGCATACTTTTCCATCGACCTATAATCTAAATCTACCTAACCACAACATAAACATAATTACATTTGCACTCTTAGGCTCTTAGCAAACCCCAACCCTGTCCAGCCCGAATCAAGTAGGGTGAAGTAATTTTTATTACACTTGTCCCTTAAAATACCTAACCTATCCACAAAAAGATATAACCCTTGAACCTATTTATCACTGGGCAAAGACAACTGAAAAGGTTGGTGATGGACTAAGGGCCATGATTAAAAAGGTGTGACAACCATGATTGATTTATTAACTTTGTAAAAGTAATTTAGCATTTACAAATAATTAATAATCCTATAATTAATTAATTATTATTACTAATAAATACTATATTTTATACTATATTTAAAAATTAAAAATAATAAATAAAATTTAATTTTCATTGATTTAAAATAATGTTTTTGCCTTCTGGTATTGGGTCACTGGTTCAACCCTTTGGGTCAAACGGGTCAGACCATAACACCTTAGCTTGTATGTATGTATGTAGCCAATTAAGTGGTGGCTTGATTGGTACGTTAGTTGGGTAGTCCCAGGAGAAACACGGATTTGAGTCTCCCTATTGTCAGTTACCTTGAAAAGTTGTAAGTGTGCCGTGTTAAATACTAAAAAAAATGTATGTATGTATGTATGTATGAATTTTAATTTTTCTTTGCAAAGACGTAAAAAATTGGGATTTGATGCCAAAAGAGGGCAAGGCACCTTCAGCCCTTGGGATGCATGGATCTTGAAAGATTACCCAAATCGATATAAAGATCACCCAATAAGTTTGCAAATACATTTAGTATACAACCTGATTACTATGTTGAATGGGTCAATGGCTTAATTGCTTAGGCCGAACAAATTTTTACCAAAAACTAGATTTTAGGAAAACTGAATCCTAAAGTCATGATTGGGTGATGGTTTGAACAATTCGAACATTCAATAGTGGCAGATTCAAAACATGGATTAAAATCCATTCAAATATTCAAATTTCACTTAAAAGTAATCATAAAGAATAATTACTTTAACATCAAATTAAAAATAATAAAAATTAGTAACAACTTGGGTTAGTAATAATAATAAAATAATAATAAATTTGACCACTATCATTAAGGCTATGTTTGGTTTGAAGAAAAAGGTAGAGAAAAGAAAGAAAAATTAGAAAAACCTATACAAAGTTTGTAAAGGTTTCCCTAACTCTCTTTTCCTTTCCCTACTTTTTCCTTTAAACCAAACATAACATAAGGGTGCACCTTGAATTGTGAAAGTCGGACTTGGATTTGCTTGGCTTAGTTGAAACTTGAAAATGCCATAGGTTTCATTTGTAATAATTTGGCTTAAAAAGGCCCGTGCATGGCACGGGTCCCGACTAGTAGCGTATATAAATTGCCAACATCATTTCTCCACCTGGCTGAAATAAGCATTGTGGTATTGCTGTGAAGCCGAGCGACTGGTATTCTTTTTTCTACTTCACAGGCTCATATATATACACTCCACGTATTACTCTGGCCAGCTCGAACTACCTTCATTTACCTTTTTATTCCTTTTCTAGGGTTTTCTGTATCGTGACGCGATGAGGTGAGACTCTTCGATTTCGATCTTTCATTATTATTTATTCCGTTTCTATAATTGTTTCCGGTTGAATTGGACACTCGTTTTCTTGCCAACGAGATTTTGATTTTTCGGTTTTTGTTTACTCGTGTGTTGGACTCCAAATTGGCAATATTTTCCCCCTTCTGTCTTTAATGGCCTGTTGCTGTCAAATGTATCAGTCGGGCTTTATATGCTTCAGTTTCTGGCAAATAGTTATCCAGTGATGTGTTTTCGTGGTGTTCTTTGTACATTTTAGATAGTATAAGCTTGTAAAAGGGAACGCATTCGTCTTTGTGGAATTGTATAATTCTTTTTTTTTTCATTTATTTCTGTTTGATGAATGTTTTGAAGTGAAGCCACTCTCAACAGATTAATGAGATTAACTGTAAAAGTGTATATGCCTCCTCATTTGTCTTGTAGGCTGAAGCAGACTAAAACTCGCACTTCGAGTCGGTTGAAGCGATTTAAACAAATTAACTACTAACTAGGACAGCATTAACATGTTTGAACTTCTTTGATATTAAATATCCATTTGCTTTACTAAGTTGAGGCAACCATGTGAGGAAATTTTTATCATCAGCCAAGTCATGGAGATTTCAATCACCTTTGTGTTGGATACTGGTTCTGGTTGGTAGAAATGCACTTCAAGTATATCTGTAGGACCCCAATCCCCAACTCTCGCATCTATTTATGTCGGTCAAGTGGTTCATTGAAATTCTATTCAATACCTCACCATTTGAATCATGGTATATTTCTGGTAGAAATCATAGTTGTAAAAGCATTAATTCCATGCTAGGTAAGAGGCACCTTGTCAGTAGGTGATGCTTGGATTATGCTTTTTTATATGAAAACCTAGTTACTGCAACTTGTTTTTGTAGCATATTTTTTTTGAGAGAAAAGGTAAAGTATTTCATTAAAAACAAACTGAAGTGATACAGCCTTGCCCACTGAGGCACTGAGCAAGACAATAACACTTTGTACATCTCACAAAACCATTATATGAACATCATACAAAAAGATTACTATGCTCCAAAAAAGAACTGTAAGGACAATTTTTGAACAGTTTATGAGTCGCCACCCAGGAGTATAACCTTCCCCAAATGCTCTTTAAGACTTCCTCCTCTGACCTCACCTGATTTTCAAAGAGTCTCACATTTCTTTCTGACCAGATTGACCACACCGCAACCGCTGGCAACACCTTCCAAACAATATTACCTCTCCTTGACAGACCCCTCAGACCCCAGTCCTGTAACAGATCCAATACATTCCTTGGGAGGCACAACTGAACTCCAAAAACCTCTAGCATTTTTTACAAGTAGTTTGTTTCCCTAGTCGAAGTAGCAAGTAGAAAACATTAAAAGTGATCTACAATGGACAAAAAATGTGTGATATAAATTTTTGAAGAGTAAAACCTAGAGGATGGAAGCCTTATTCCGTTAGTCAGGGAGATATAAATAGTGTATCTATGCCTTTGAGTGTGTGTAAGAATTGAAAGAAAGAAAGGGATAAACCCGCATCATGTTGAATTCAGCAAACATACTCAAAAGAGTAATGTATTCAAATTATTATTTACCGAGAAAAAAACAGTGAAGGGGGTTGTCCCGGTTGGAAAGACAAAGGGGAGTGGCTATTATAGAAAGGGGAAAAAAAGGAAAAGAGTCCTTGACCTGATTTGCCATAGAGAGATGATGCTCTTTTTTGCTAGTAAAAATTGAGGGAAGAGGACTGCTAACTCATTTGCAGATGGGCTGGCCAAGCAGGGGGTGAATAGGGAGGCTATCTTTTGGGCCAATTTTTAACTTTCTGTCATTGTATTCTGTTGATGGGGAGTTAACACTTTTTACCTCCCCTATTGTGTATCTAAAGCTTCATAAATATTCACATCATTAATAAAGTTTTTTGTTACTGATCAAAAAAAAAAGAGAGGGAAGTAGAAGAAAAAGTTTGTTGTTATGAATGCCATGATGAAACTGCTGGTTAAAGCCTTACAACAACAAGTACACTGCTTTCCATTTCCTTTTTGTGGTTTGCTGCAAGCCTTGTATTTGGTAATTTACAGTGACCTAATTTTATTAAAAAAAGGGCAAGCCCCAAACTGTACAATAAATTTTGAAGCTGGACAAGCTGACCATACTGTCTCCCCTTTTACATTGATTTATTTACAAATATCTCCTTGGACCAGGCTCATCCCAATGAGAATTTTGCCAAGAAGCTCCATCTCTAGAAAAGGAGTCTTCCATACTGTATAAAAGTTGCATTCATTCTCTTATCAAAATTTTTCTTTTTGGCAGAATTTATTAAGCACTCTCAATAAGTCTCCTTTAATTGCACCCCAACATTCTTAAATAAAGGCCACTAGGTCTTGGGGCTTTGTCTTTGCTCATGCCCATAATTACCTTCCAAATCTCTGTTTCTGTGAAAGGATTTTCCAACTTATTATTGATTTCTTCAGGAATAACACCCCGATGTAAGATTCATAAAAAAAATTGAATGTAAACCTTCAAGAATCAGTCTTCTTCTAGGGGGAGGAAACAAACTCATGGAAACACTGATAAAAAAAACAAACTCATGGAAACTAGAAATGAAAATTAATATATTATGTACCCATTTTGTGGATCTCTAAATTGAAAATAGATTTGTTATGGTGTCTTTTTACACCTTTTTTTTTTATCTATACACCACTGCACTACACCTAAAATGAAAGTGACCAAGGTGAGGCATAAAGTGACTAGACATTGCCTTGACAACTGTGTTAGAAATCTAGTGAAACTATCAATTCTAAACTCTAATGCCTAAAACATAGGATTTTATGAGAATAGATACATGGCCATCTTTGCATTAATGAGGATGGGATCTGCTATAGTCTAGCAATACATTAGTCCTCTATATTGACTGAAATTGGATTGCCTTTGTTTCATTTCATACTTGTCACTTTCCTTTGCTTATTGAAAATCTTTGAAAGAATCAATTTCTTAGACTATGGATACCTCTAGGTTGGTCACCATCTCCCTCTGGATTGTCATCCAGTGGTGTTTGGCAGAGGCCATGTGCTTGTTATAATGTTTTCTCCCCATCCTGTTTTTAAAGCTCCCCTTCCCATGGGTTGACCCTAGCAAAAATCTCCGTTCATTTGTCAAAGAAATATGCAAAGATCTCACTTCCATTCATTTTCCTGACAGACGTAATACTTTATTGAATCCTATTTTTAAGCATTATGTCATTGTTTTCCAACAGAAGTGAGGTCTTTGCATATTTCTTTGAAAAGTGAAGGGAGGTTTTTGCTAGGATCAAAACCCATGGGAGGTTTAAGTGATTGTCAGATAACCTGGGGAAGGTTTAAGCAATTTTCCTTTTTTTTATACATGACTTCTAATAGATAATTTGGATTCTGCAGTCGCCATCCTGAGGTGAAGTGGGCTGAGAGGGTGGATAAGGTATATCTCACTGTATTGTTGCCAGATGCAAAGAATTCAAAGGTGAATCTTGAACCAGATGGAGTGTTTACATTCTCTGCTACTACTGGACCAGAAAACCTTCTCTATGAACTCAAGATAAATCTTCATGATAAGGTGAATGTAGAGGTAAGAGTATGGAGAATCCCCCCTTCTTTCTTTTATCTTACCTCTTTCAATTGACTGGTAAAATTGGCTGATGTTAGAAGTTCATTAATGCTAATCAATGGATCCTAAGCTGAGAGTTTGGTGCAAACTTCTTATTGGTCTCACCCAAAGAATTTCTTTCCCAAATGTAATTCTGACTTGATGATCCTAACCAGTGGATCTACTATTTTCTTTTCAATAATCTTGGAAGGCACACGAAATGGTCCAGAAGAAAAATAAACTTTGTTATTGGTTAGAAGAAGAACAAGGTATCAGAAAAAACCCTCAGAGATGAACCAGAGGTCATTGGATTTATTGATTTTTTGGTTCCAGGGTTCTCCGAACTGGGCATATGTGGTAGTTGTGAAATGTATATGCTGCTAGTTAGATCTATGACCTCACACTGCAGTAACGGTTTTTTTACTAATTAGACTTCTCTGTTTTGCTACCAGGAAAGTAAAATTAATATAGGTGTTCGGAATATATTCTGTGTCATTGAGAAAGCTGAGAAGGGTTGGTGGAAGAAGCTATTGCAGGCAGATGAAAAGACCCCACACTACGTGAAAGTTGATTGGGACAAATGGGTAGATGAAGATGATGACAATGGTGGGGATTTTGTTAGCTGTATTTTTGTTTTCTCATATTGATCATGTATGTTTGTGTATGCATATGTGTTTATTGTAGGAAGTTACTAAGTTTTACTTTTTGATTTGGCCCAGCTGACCTGGATTTGGGAGGGATGGACTTCTCGGTATGGATAACTTTATCAGATTGGTTTTATTTCTGAGGTTTTTTATTGGAATTTGTGCTAATTGTCATGCTTATTTCTGTCATGTATAGAAATTTGGCGGTATGGAGGGAATGGGTGATGATTTTGAAGACAGTGATGGTGAAGGTAGGCATAATTCCATGTATCTTAAAGGATATGCATTATTACGATTAGAGGGTCTTGTCTGAATGCCTTCTGAATAAAGGTGAAAACAAGGTTCTAAATATTGATACAAGCCAATACACCCCCTGTAGGGATGTATTGGGGTGTCACCAATACGCCTCGATACATTTTGATATTTAGAACCTTGGGTGAGAGGCATGTATAAATGTTGTTGCTGGCCTTGAAGCTAACTCTTAATGACAAATGGTGAATTCTATGGATCTCCAATGTCTCAGCCCCATACCCTTGTATGTATTGAAGCAGTCATCCCTTTTGAATAAATAGTGGAGAGATATGCTGAGCATGTCTACCCATTTTGGGCTTCCATCTCATTTCTGACCAAAAAATAATGGGGAAACAGACTTCTGAACTGCAATATGATTATGGTTTAGTTGGTAAACCTTTTTTGATCTGATCAATCTTCTAACAACCATTTAGAACTGATGATACAACTCCAAAAATTAGGCATAAATGAAGAATAAAAATTATTTTTAGATGAAACTTAACCAAACATGATGGTTTGTTTGGTTTTTATGGATGGACTATCTGGATTGATGGTTTGTTTGGTTTTTTCTTGCTCTCAGTCTACTCCATTTCATTATCCTCATGGACATGGTAGAACTAGTTTTTATTTAAACCACTTTGTTTGATCTGGTTTGTTTTTAGACATGCCATCAATAGGAAGTTGATACTACCAAAGATTGTAGCAGGGGTGACTTGGGAACTTTTGAAGTGATTAGGTCAAGGGTGTGGTTCCTAGCCCCTATTTATAAGTGAGGTCTCATTACTGGCTGCATTATGTCATTTATAACAGTTTTGCACGTCAGGGTACAATGAAGGCTAGGGCCATTAAAGTGCTGACCACATGGCTGAGCTTACTCCAGCATTGATGACCCAAAGAGGGATTGCGGCTGAGGTCGTAACGCCCCAAGAGTAACCCACCATTAAGGCTAGTTGTGATTTGTGAAATACCGAGGATGCCCTTTGAGGCTTGTGAAAGGATGAGGTTGACCCTAGTGGTGGCACATGTCTATTAGGGATTTGAGGAGTAATTGTCGTCGAATCACATGCCCCACACTTCCAAGGCCAAGGTTGAAGTTAACGACCTCAGACGAAGGGAGTAATTGAAGTTCATCTGAGTGGTCCCCATTGCTCTGGTGTGAAGTTCAATGTGTTTTGTCCATTGGTGAAGGTGGTAGTTTGGGATCGGTGAAAGCAATGGTTCAGGATCACTGAGGAATGGAGCGTTAGCTCAAGAACCATGATAAATGGAGAGGCATCGTTTTGGCTCTTGAAGCATGCACCACATGAAACCCCTCTACACAAGATGGTGGAAGGGCGCGATCTGGACCTTTGGATGAAATTGATTTGGTCGTTGAATTTCCTATAAAAGGAGAGGTACTAAGGTAGAGGGGCCGAAAGTATTGCCGTTTGCTATTGTGCACTACTTGAGTGCTTCCAATTCACCTTGGCTTGTTTTCAGCGTCTATTCTCCAAAGCTTGTCCCCTTCAAACTTTGGCAAGTCTACGTCTTCTTCATTATGGCCCTGTTTGGTGCATCTTTTTGCGTGGTCTTTCGGCTGTTTATAAGCTTGGCAAATTGCACCACGGTCTTTTTCCGTTTGGTTCGTAACAGATCTAGCCGCCAAAAGTTGATGCACCGAAAAGACACGAAAAGCCCATTTTGGGTTGATTTTGGGAAGCTCCAAATGGAGCTTTTCGTGTCTTTCTCGCTTTATTCTCGCGCGGAAAGACACAGAAAGACATGCGGTAGCCAAACTAGCTTGGGCTGCTCAAATCTTCATGCAAAAGCTCAATGTGTCTTTTGACTGTAAGAGCTACCAGAAGATCTTCTCAAAAAGACTTGCCAAACGGTCCCTATGTCTTCTAACTCAGACTGGGAGGCTTATGAACTCCCATAATGGTCCACCCCTAGTGTGCCCTTTTCCACTTCTTATAAGTCCTGTTCAAATACTGAGAATTGACTCGGCCTCTGAAAGTAGAAATCTTAAGAAGTAGGTTTAAGATGGTCTAGGTTGAGTGTAATGGGGCTTCTAGATTGACAATTGAGGAGGGGAGGGGTGAGTAGGGAGGCGAGGGATGGACTTGGTGAGACTTTTGGCTAGGCTTTTGAGGAAGAGGCCTAGGTAGTTAGGGTATAGAGAGTCGCTCTTGCGATAGCTACGTCTTCTATTTGAAAGTATGCAAGGTTCGAGTTGGAGTGTCTTTAGGCCTGCCGATGTGAAGTTACGTCAACAATACTACATTCTAGATCGATTTGTGACTATGGTCCCTGAGGTCGATGAGAGGCCATGGACGACTAGAGAGGGCAAGATTTGTATCCATGAGCATTAGTTGCAAGCCGACCTTCCCTGAAATCTTGAACTATTACAACATCATCATCAACCAATTAGTACTCGGTGTCATTAGGACTATAATTTGAGTTCTTTCTATTACCTATCTGTGGGGTGTCCCATTTACACTAAACTTATTTAGGTGTTTGTACTCTCTGAGGCACCACCCCTCAAGCGAAAGGTGGTGGTACTTTATGGCTTAGATCGAAGGTAAAGGTGATGGTACTTTAGGTGTCTTGCGAGATGATGAGAATGCCCTTCGGGGTGTACCATGTGTCATCTGCTGGTGGTGTGACCAATATTACTCGTATCAACTGTCACAGAAGGATTACAAAAGGCAAAAGATCTGAATGTGAGAATGCTGATTGTAGAAGGTGATTCAAAGCTGGTATTGGAGTGGTTTCAAAAGGAAGATAAAGGTTTTTGGATTTTCAATAATGAAAAAAGAGATTCAAGTGGATGGCTCAAATTATGAAAGTGTAGTTTAGTTGGGTTAAAAGGGTAGCAAATGGTTTTGCTGATGTCTTAGAAAAATAAGGGGTGGGGAGGAACCAGCTGTTTTGGGCTCATTTGTAACAGTTTTTTTTTTTTTTTGTGTGTGTGTGTGGATAGTTAAGAAAGTTTACCTCTCCCTATCTTGTAATCTTTTAAATATTTCTAATGAATCTGTTATTGATAAAAAACAAAAAAGTGCTTGAGCTTTAATGGCAAACCTCCATGCAGGTATACCTTGTGTTGGTGTCATGAAAGACCTTGTTGGCATAATACACTAGCTTCTACCCCCTACATCTTCCCGGACCAGAATGGAGCTTACCGCTTCATCACTGACTAACAAGTGTAGGTACAACTCTTCTCCTGGACTTGACTTACTAAACAATGGTGGGGAGGCCAAATACCTCTTCATCTCTTTGAAAGCCTTCTGGCACTCATCTATCAATTGGAAGTCTTTTAGCTTTATAACTCCTCAAAACAACAACAGACACTAAGCTGCTGATCGAGACATAAATCTACTAAGGGTATGCACCTGTTGGCCGATCATTGGAAATCTTTTAGTTTCTTGATGGCCCGAAAGAAGGGTATACACCTGTTGGCTGATTGAGACATGAATCGGTTGAGTGGCTTGAATTTTGGGATTTGCCTCAATGCCTCACTGAGTGACTACGAGGCTGAAGAGTTTACTCGAGGTAATCCTGTAAGCACATTTGGTGGGGTTCAACTTCATGTTGTGCTTCTTCAGTACATTGAAGACCTCGTCAAGGTCGGTGATGTGCTAGTTAGCCGTGAGACTCTTCACCACCATATCATCAATGTAGGCCTCGACATTTCGGCAGATCTGCACCTTGAAGATCTTGTTCACCAGTCTCTGGTATGTGGCCCTGGCATTCTTTAGTCGGAATGGCATCACCTTATAGCAGTGTCGTACTCGGTGTTGAAGGATGTCTTCTCTTCATCGCTAGGGTACATCCTGATTTGGTTGTACCTAGAGAAGGTGTTCATGAAGCTTAGGAGCTCGTATCTCGAGATGACATTGATTAGGCGATCTATTCTTGGCAAGGGAAAGCTGTCTTTGGGGCAAACTTTATTGAGATATGTGAAATCAATGCGTATACGCCATTTCCTGTTAGCCTTCCTAACCATGACCATGTTAGATAGCCATTCAAGATAGTGTCTCTCTCTAATGAAGTTGGCGTTTAGTAATTTATCCACTTCCTCTCCAATCGTTTTCAAACGCTCCGATGCAAAGTTCCTCTACTTTTTCCAAACCGGCTTAAAACTTGGGTCCACACTCAATTTGTGACTAATGATTGAAGGGTCAATTCTTGGCATATCAGCAATAGACCAAGCAAAGACGTTGGCATTGGATTTGGCTTTGAGGAAGCTTATCAGTTCGAAAAGGTTGTCTTGAGGGAGGAGAGACCCGACTTGTATAGTTTTTCTGGGCTTGACCTTGTATAGAGGAATAGTGATAAGGTCTTCCAATGGTTGACCTTGCCTGGCGAGTTCATCCCTAAGGTCAAGCCCCTCTACCAGCAGGGTTTCCTTGTTTTTGCCTTTTAACGCTGCGATGAAGCATTGTTTGGCAGACTACTGATTGCCTCAGACCACTTTGACCCCTCGTTCCGTGGGGAACTTCACAACAAGGTTGATGCAGGAGCTAAAGATGCAAAATTGGAATTTTATGTATTTTTTGGATTGTAGAGGTATTTTTGTCATTTTTGCAAATTTCTGTGAAATCCAATTATAGCTAGTTTGTTTATATTTAAAATTTCCGAGTCATTGCATAAGTAGGATTGGAGTTATTAAGTCTTCTTTGAATTGAAATAGGATATGACGGTTTGACTCCTAGGATTATTATGAGTTTAGAGTCTATAAATATGTATGGTTTTACACAAAGGCAATGAATCATATTGAGTTTTCTTCAGCTTATGCTAGCTATGGTGAGTGATTCTCATTTTCTAGAGTGATTGTAGGCACCATATGAGTGATTCCAGGTATTTTCTCTCTTCTTTTTCTCCCTATTTTCTCTCTTCTTCCTTCAAGAAGCCATTACAACCATCGATAGCCATAAGACTGACAAATAAGACCATTCAACACTCTCTAGGGACTAGAACTGAGCTGGTCCTACATCAAAGGTGGAACGAAGATACCACTGCTTTTTGGGCCTGAAGGGTCAGCTGACCAAGGATGGCGTTATATGGTGACTTGATGTTGACAACTAGGAACTTGATCGTTCAAGTGACGTGTCGAAGCTTTGTTCCCACCGTAAGAGGTAGGTTGTTCTTGCCCTCTAGTTTTATGGTTGCCCCGGAGAAACTGACCAAGGGATGTAGGCTGAAGTTGATCAGGGGTTAGTTGTATCTTCTAAAAGGCCTCATAGAAAAGGATGTCGGCTAAGGAACCGTTGTCTACGAGGATCCTTTTGACCTCGTAGTTGGCGATCGTCAGAGAGACCACCAATGCGTTGTCATGGGGTATGGAGACCCCCCTTAAGTCGTCATCCGAGAAGGTGATGACATCTTTCGGCTTTTGTTTGTCTACCTGTTTTTGATTTGTAGTTGTCAAGCATAGGTCTTCCAGGCAGAGGTGCTTTCACCTCCCGATGTCGATCCTCTTGAAATGATGTTGATTACCCTTGCCAGGGGTCGACCCAGCTTTGGGGTCAGCTAAGGTTGAGGCTGACCCCCCTGGGATTTCACCGTTGACAAAATCTTTCAAATGTCCCTCTATTGAATGAGGGTCTCGATCTTATTCTTAAGCTCATAGCAGTCTTCGGTGTTGTAGTCGGTGCCACGATGGTACTTGCAATACTTTTTTGGATTATCCCTCTTGGGGTTCCTCTTCAACTTGGTAGGGATGTGCGTCCGAGAGGCATTCAATGGAGTGTGCTTTTTGAATGACAGTGTGGGTGACTTCTTGTCATTGTTCTTGTTGTTGGGGATGTCGGCTGGCTCGTCTCTGTCTTTTCTTTTCTTTTTATTTGGACCAGCCTCAAAGTTGTGTAGACATTTGTTGGCTTTGGTCTCTTTAGCGTCGATGTACTTTTGTATTCTCTTAAGGAACTCGACCTTATTGTGAGGTGGAGTCTTAGAGATAGACCAGCTGAGAGGACCTAGGCGGAGGCCGTTGATGGCAGCAGCCATAGATACTAAGGGGTCGAGGTCTTTGGCTTCAAACTCTTCTTGGTTGAAGCGTTTCATGTAGGCTCGAAAGACTCCTTGGGTTTTTGCTTGTATAGGGGTGTCGATTGGATAGGGGTGTCGATTGGATTGGATTTGGTCCAATCCAATCTAGTCCAATGTCAGCCCATTATAGATGGACCTGGTCCAATCCAATCCAATGAATATTTTGGACCGATCCAATTCAATGTTTGGATCGTCCAATCTGTTCAAATTCGTTTTGATTTAGACTGGTTTCAACGCAAACCCGGTCCATTGACACATATATCCTTATCTTATATCAGTGGACCAAATATTGGCTTAATCCAACCCAATACAATATAAATTTATTACAAACGGACCAGGTCCAATCCAATCTAATAAACTTTTTGGACTGAATTGGTCCAATCCAATATGCTTTGTTGGTTTGTCCAATCCATCCAAATTGATTTTGGATTGGATGGGGTCCAATCCAAAACCGGTCCATTGACACTCTTGTTTGCTTTATGGACATAAGGGAGGAAATGACTGTCTTTTGGCATCGCCGACTGCTCGCGAAATGTGCTATAAAAAGTTCTGCAAACTGGTCCTAGGAACTAATGGACCGTGGGGGGAGGCTTGAGAACCATCTTTGGGTGACCCCCTTGAAAGTGGCTTGGAATGCCCTGCACATCAAGGCGTCGAAGTATCCGTGGAGGAGCATGATAGCTCAAAAGCTCTCCAAATGGTCCTCCGGATCTGAACTGCCGTCGTATGTTTCCAGAGTCGGTGCTTCAAAGTTTTGTGGAAGCATCTCCAAGGTGATGGAATCAATGAAAGCTTCCATTCTGTTAGCCGAGGTGGGCTGGCTGGTGGAGACGTTGCCTTTGACTTCCTTGACCTGTTTAATCTCGGCCTGGATGGCGCCAATCTGCTCCCAGAGGCCTACGATACGTTGATCAACCTGAGGTAGCGGGGCCTTGGCTTGGTCAGGCGCCTCCCTTACCCAAGAGAGATCTTGATAGTTTCGGGAGTATTCCGAATCAGCCAGGTCCTGGGCTCTACGAGTGCGGTGATCGCAGAGGTTAGAAAGTTGCCCTCTAATGGTGCCATGTGTCCTTTAGGGATTTGAGGGATAATTACTGCTGTATCAGAAGTCTCTGATATAATGCCAGTAATATATAACATGCTGATCTATGTAATGTTGTTTTACCCTTATTGTTATTATATTGTTCAATAATAAAAAAAAATAGTGCCTTTCCATGATTTATCCCATTCGTACTTGAAACCATACTGCAATACAAGAAACTTCCATCCTGCTTGTTCTTCTTTCAATAATGTTCTAATAATGCTTTAGTGGACCAAGCTCTCCTTTGTCTTTTTCTTTCCTTGGGCTTTGTCTTTACTCTGACCGGGAATCCATGACACTTTGATATGCTCTAAATGAACAGTTCTGAAGAGTGAAACCTAGCCTCTGACGAGCCAAACCTATTTTTGTCCTTAGTTGCTGCCTGAACAGGAAACATGGTATGTTCCTGGAGTTTAGTTGTTCTTCATCGGGTAGTGAATAAACCTCCACTGGTGGAGAAGATACTTGTATGAGAACGTGTCTCCACTGTGCACAGTGTTGCCCAGCAGTTTGAGCTGGCTCCTACCTAGGAAATTATGTTAGGCTGCAAATCAGTCGATGGATACATTGTATGTGGCCGAGGATTGACCTATGAAAACTTTAAGTGCAACGTTTCATGCCATCCTCTTCCCATGATGATTGATATCTGTTTCCCTTGCTATGTAGATCAAGAAACGGAAAAGTCTGCACAAGAAGAGGAAAAGACGAAAGAAGCGGTGAAGCCCTCACAACAAGATGAAAAGACGGAAGAAGCTCCAGCTCTATCCGAGAAGGCAGAACCTGCTTCAAACACATGAAGATGGTCTGGACCAAGATTTCAACGCACTGCAGCTATTGGGTTGGCATAATCTGGGGGATGGCGAGTTGGTCACTGTGGGGATTTGCCTGGTGTTTGTTTAGATGTGTAGTCCCTACTGGATGCTGGCTTGGGGCCATTCTGGTTTTTTATTTGTTTCCGGCATGAGATGTATTCTGAAAATTATAGGTTAGAGGTTTATAACCGAGATTTGGCATTTAGCTTGTTTTAGAATTTTATTCCAGTTTGTTTTGCAATCTCTCCCCCCCTCTCTCTCTCTCTCTCTCTCATCTTCAATATTAAATATGTTATTAGCCTTTATTGAATGATATTAATCAATTTGGTGGAATCATATCTTTGTTATTAGGCAATTGCTATGATGCTGGCCTGATGTGATACCAATCAAGTCATCAAACTCCCTCCCCTTAGGTCTGCCAACATTATCTGATTGTCCAAATTCGAATTTGAATCACATTAAGGGTGATCCGAATTTGATCCCAATTCAATCGGATAATATATATATCCCGTTGCAATCTAAATACCTTTGTGAATTTTGATGAAAAGTTGATCGGTTACCACTATGATGCAAGTTGATTGCTTATCAATTTTTTCAGGTATCATATCACGGTGGGACTTATAAAGGAGACAAGGAGCTTAGAAATTTGTCTCAGTCACATTTTTATATTTTTAGCACAAAAAAGGTTCACTATTTTATCCATGAATGCTGGCATATGTAAATGCACACGAGACGACTACACAAGAGGGGTAGCCCTCCCCCAAACCCCTGCACCCATCATGAGTGGACTTGATGGACTTGATCCCCCCACCCCACCCCCCAAGTTTCTGCCACAATCAGTTAGAAATCAGGCTAGTTGGCACCTTCAATGCACGGGAGAGGATAGAGATAGGAAGAAACATAATGTGAGTAAGTTTTTATATGATTGAATTCAGCTTTTATGTGATACCAAGGCAAATATCCGCATATAGAGCTTGTTTGAGAGGGCCGCGGCTTTCAATGAGTTACATCATTGATTGAGTGTTCGGTTTTGAGACGATCTCAAGGCAAATTAGATCAAATCACAGTCCATTTTAATACTATTAGGTTTAACTGTTTAACCTATCTAGAAAAACCAAATAACATGCATATCTAGATAACATATATAATTCAAATATTAAATTGAAATGTTACCCTATACTTTGAGTCTAGTCTCACTTTGGTACTTGAATTTCAAAATGTGCCAATCTAGTATGTGAACTTCTAAAGCATTCCAGTTTAGTCCAAAATTGTTGACCAAATTAAGTGGCATGTGAAAGGATGCAAATAACCTTTGGGTGTCATCTAATTTTCTTTATCAAACACCCAAATGCCTAAATCCAAATGTCTTTTGGTTGTTCACCATTGCTTTGGTTCAATCTTGATTTTTGAGGAAAAAGATGATGAACAATGTCTTATTTTGAAGGGTAGTTTTGACATTTTCAAAAGTTCTAGGCTGCATGTGTCATCACGTGATATAGATAATTGATGGACAGTTAATGATAAGGACTAAATTGGGACTTTTTGGAAGTTCAAGTACTAGATTGACACATTTTGAAATTCGGGTACCAAAGTGAGACTGGGCCCAAAGTACAAGGTATTAATACACAATTTGCCCTTATATAAATTACATTCTCACTTTCCCAAATATAAGCAGTTCTTTAGACATCAAATTACAAGTTAAAAATTAAGGAAAATTCCAGATTAGTACCATGTACTTTGGGCCTAGTGTCACTTTGGTCCTTGAACTTTAAAGCACGACAATTCAATACCTAAACTTTCAAAACGTGCCAATTTAATACTTATCGTTAACCAATTGTCAGTTATATACTTATATGTATCACGTGATGACATGTGCTATTTAATTTTTTCTGAAAATATCAAAATTACCTTCAAAATATTATTCATCATCTTCTTCCTCAGGAATTAAGATTGAACCAAAGCAATAGTGAACAACCCCAAAGAAATGATTGAGCTAAGTTATGGTAAAACTTTACTGCCATTTTGTTTTCTTTTGACTGGTATTCTTTTGTGGGAGTCGGGTCATCACCATTCCCTTGCAAAATTGTACCCAAAATTTGTACATTTGTTTCATCTTGTTTTAGTTTTGACAAAGGCATTTGAATGGTTGATAAAGAAAATTAGATGACACTTGAAGGGCATTTATGTCTTTTCACATGCCACTTAATGACTATTAATGATAGACACTAGATTAACACATTTTGAAAGTTTGAGTATTGAATTGTCACGTTTTAATGTTTAGGGACCAAATTGGCATTAGGCCCAAAGTACAAGGTACTAATAGGAAAGTTTCCCTAAAAATTAAAGCAAACAATAATGTATAAAAAAATGTTTTAAAACCAGACCCGGAAATGGAACTGTCTTTTCCTCCGGATCATGGGTTGACGGTCCAACCATCTAGGTCAACGGTTCAACATATAATAATGTTTTAATCGTTAGATTAGGAACATTGAATATCATCCTTTGGCTCTAGGTTTGCTGAATATATAAGAAAATATTAGGGGCAGAGAAGGGAGATCGAAGGGAGAAAGAGATTAACAGAGGGAGGAGAAAGGCTCATTAGCCATAGCCAGGAGCTGATAGTGGCTCTTCAATGGTTACAATAGTACCACGACAACACGTCGTATCTTCAGGGAGTAAGAGTAGAGAGAAGTAGTAGCAGCTGGGTATCTTCATGCTCAGAGACATTTCTGCCCAGCTCATGCCGACAACACCTCTCGTACTCTCTAGCGATTGTATAACAGAGGCAACTGATCTATGATAGTTGCATATCAGCCGCGGCAATGCGTATCAGATATTCAGCGTTAAGGCAATGGTAGTGACAACAAATCTACAATGGTGGGCAAATGTAGTTATTAGACTATTATGAATAGAAATGAGATAAAAAATGATGGTTTCTGTAAAAGAAGCAACGGGTTGGTGTGAAAAGAAGAAGGGGAGGGAAAGAAGGGGAAAAATAAAAAGAGACCAGGGTTTTAGGCATTACATTTTGGGTTGAACGGACCGCGACCTGCGAATGGTTTAAGCGGTTTACCGGTTTAACCGCTTGGGTCAATAATTTTTTACCAAAGTCAATGGTTTTCTCTCAAATACCGGGTTTAGGATGAAACGGGCTCACTTTTTTGATCAGGTGACGGTTTAAATAGTTCAACCGAGTAGGTCAGCAACGGGTTGAAAACCTTGGTATAAAATGTTAAATCATATATATTTATGTTTGAGCATAGTATTATTTATTTTAATTTTATTTACGATTTGGTTTATTTTTTATATTTTAAAAACTATGCAAAATCAGAAAAATACTGTATAAGAAATCCTCTATCAAACCAAACCGTTTTAAGGCTAGATAAGACCAAACAGCCAATTTTGATGCGATTTAGTGGCTAGATATTCTATTCTATCCAAACTCCTCTTTCTAATTTTTTGTTTTTTTTTTTTTTTAACTCTGCATAATTGCCCATTAAACCAACAAAGACACAACATAGGCAATAATCCCCTTATCTTATTCCTAAAATCTCTCTCTCTCTCTCTATCTCTCTCTCTCACACACACACACATTCCCCAATCAACTAAATCATCTCCTCTCTTAAAAGTTCTCCTAAATTATCTCTCCCACCTAAAACTTCCTCCTAAAACATCTCCTAACCTATCTCACTTTAAACAACCTAATTGGAAGATCTCTTTCCCAACCCCCTATCTCTCTTTCTCTATCTAAAATACTAATAAGATGTGAAAAAAAAAACTAAAATTGAGGGAGAGTAAGGGAGAAGAATGAGAAAGATCGAGGGAAAACAATAGAGAGAGAGGTTTTGATTTAACTATATCGAAGCAGAGAGAGTGGGAGATCGAGAGATGACCATGAGAGTGAGAGAGAAGGGAAGGAAATCGAGAGACAGAGGGAGTGGGAGAGAAACTGAAAACCTATTTTCAATATAGGTTTTCTGTTGTGTCAAACATAGAATAAGAGTCCCATGGTGGTAACAACCACATAAGCCTCTGATGACATAGTGGGGGTTTTTATAATTTGAAATGTAAAGCTAGTTTTCAGAGTTTGGTTGGTTTATGGACCAACTTGCAACATAATTTTAAATGTACAACCAACTTTGACTATAATTTTTCCTTTAAATTATATATTTCATTTACATTATATAAAATATTTTTTACTTATCACATTTAATTTTTGTTTGTTTATGGTATCATTTTACTCAAACCACTAACCCACCATCTAAAAATAAAAATTGTTTGATTTCTAGGTTGATATTAAATTTTGTATTACATTTCCATCATTAATAAAATTATTTCTTATGTATAAAACTTATTTTTGTTCAATATAATGAATGYAYRRTATTAGARATGTACCCAATATTTTATTTTTTATAAATATATAACATTAGTTATGTATCCAAAGTTTTCTCTTATTTTTTTGTTTTTGTGATTCTTTGTATTTTCTATTATTNTAGGTAGATTTTGAAATTGGCTTTCCATTTTCATCATTAATAAAAATACTTCTTGCATTTCATAGTTATTTATTTTAATTTTTTATTATTTAATTATGACATTATTTATTAATCCATTTGACCCCAAATGGTCAAATTGCTTGCCCACTACCGAGAGGGAAGAAAATGATTTTGTTTTCAAATTACTTTTCAGAATATTTATTTTTATACTATTAAAGTTAATATTGTGGATTTAATTACAAAAATTTAATGATGAGAAAAATATATTTTAAATATAGGATTTAATGAAGAGAATAGAAAAATATTTTTATTTTCAGTTGGTTTTAAATTTTACATTCCATTTTCATCATTAATAAAAACATTTCTTATTTAACACACTTATTGTTGTTTAATATATATGTTAAAAATGTTCCCATTTTTTTTAATTTTTAATTTTATCTATTTTTTAATTTTATTATTTAATCGTGGTAATATGAATTAACCCATTTGACCCAAAATGATTTAATTTGTTACAACCACTTAGATGAAAACACTATTTTTGCTAGGTAGATTTTAGAAGTATAAGATTTTATGTTAATTGAATTATTAATTTATTAAATATGGATTTAATTAATAGAAATTAATGATGATAAGAAATAAAAATGAATTAAATATATGATTCAATGAACATGAATGCATGTTAATAACTTAAATGTTGGATTTAATGAGAGATAATTGAATGCATTGAATATCTTTAAATTAACTCTTTTCAACTCATTTAATATTAAGAACCAATTGCCCTATTTGCCCTTATTTTTTTATCATTAAATTTAAATATAGAAGATAAATATTATCCTTAGAAAATTCTAGAAATA